ATCCATCCATCCATCCATCCATCCATCCATGCATCTATCCATCCATCCTTCTATCCATCTATCCATCCATCAATCCATGCATCTATCCATCCATCCTTCTATCCATCCATCCTTCTATCCATCTGTCCTTCTATCCATCCATCATCCAGATTTTAGATCAATAAATGATCCCGGCTTTATAGATAAATCTGAATATTTCCTGTTTTATCTTTGCCACTTCTTGGCAGAAGGTAGAAATCAACTGTTTACCATCTGACTACTGATTTGGGGTCCATGTCTCCATCTCTTTATCAGTCTTTCATGCATGCATACATATTCAGACTGATGCTCCCCTGGGAAAGAAACACACAGCTCTCAACAAAATGGTGATTCATAATGTATGACTGGATCCTGGGGAAAACATAACAGGCTTTTTATTTCTTTAATCTCGTCACATTATCCCATTTGTTTCTGTATTTTTGCGTTTTCCACAGAGGCAGCAGAGGGTCAGCTGAGTGCTGAGGAAGAGGAGGCCCGGAGGATCGCTGAGATGGGGAAACCCATCCTGGGGGAGCACAGCCGCTTAGAGGTGGTCATTGAAGAGTCCTATGAGTTCAAGGTGCATAGTCATTCCTTTCCTTGTGCTGCCCTCTGTAGGCAATGGTATGAACTTATTTTGTGAGACTCTGGATATCGTATGTTTATTAAAAGCAGAAAAATTAAATATTTTCTTTTGGAATTAGTTCTGGAGATGCTTGGTCACCAAATTCCAGTCTTGATTTTTAAAAAACCCACAGAATGATCTTTGTTTCTCTGAACATGTTTTTCCTCTTCTTGCCTCTTTTGGACCTGGGTCTCATTCCTTGAGCCAAGCTGCTCCACTGTGACTGAATTATTGAAGCTGCATTAGCTGCCCTCAGTACAGCAGCTACCCTTAGGCATGCTCCACTCTGACTCTGCCCTGCAGGTCTCCTGTAGAAGAAAAGTAACACACTTCTTCATGAACAACGCCCTCTACCCCGACCTGCAGCTATACAGCTGCTTTATTATTTTATCAAATATCTATCTAAAAGTAATCCACTTAACTGCTCTAAAGTCAAAGCCAACACTTGGATTACTTCTGGAGGATTAGTTGCAAACATTAAATTAAAATATAATTAAAAATGCAGATTCCACAATGCAGACAATAATGTAATAAAAATGACAAACCTGGGTCTGAAAAAAATCAAATACGATCTTGCTCGTCTACAGGATCCTTGAGCAACAAGTTACAAATCACAGCGCAGCCCTGGGTTCAGTTTCAGGAAGCAGATTGGAAAAAGGTTTTTTTTATTCCAGTAGGTTTCCAAACTGAAACCATTCATATGCTGGTGAAGATTCTCAGTCATCCAGGTCATAGCCATTCCAAAAAAAGTTTAAAAAAACTATCCACTTGACTTTCGTCTTTGGGTTTGTTATTTTTTATGCAGGCCAGTTAGTTATACGTCAGCCTGAACACCTAATTTCCATTTGCCAATCATACATCAACGGTCATCTGTCAAATAATAGCATCTTGATTCATATGTCGCAGCTGATATACGCAACGGTTGAAATAAGAAATAAGAATAATTTCCTTTCCCATTGAGTTCCGTCTCAGTGTTCATAGGGATGGACGTCTGTGTCTTCGGCAGGCGTAGATTTAACAGAACTGGCAGCGTTGCGAGGCAAGGGCTCAAACATGTATGGCTGTAAGCCTTCTACACCAAACCAAGCTTCTACCGCCCTGGCGTCCTCTTCCACAGCAACTTCTTCCCTGCTTACCTCCTGTAAATAAAAATGTATGATGGAGGAGACTCATCCACGACCTCCGACACTAAACTCTCCTCCTTGTTTCCACTGTCCATAGCGTTCCTTGACAGTGTCGTTTCTAAGTCTCCAATTTAGTGCTACTTTTCCCATTGGGAACCTATTAGCACTAAGTTGCTAACTGGTAAGCAAGGTGCTTCAGAGAAACCGGCTATAACCAAACTTGCTTGCGAACCTTCCACCACAACAATCCTGCCCCCTTGAAAAAAACGACCAATCACATTCACCTTTACAGGCACCACTCGGGAGAATTCAGAAATGCAATGGTACGTACAGCCATTTCCCTATGATTTTAAAGCATGACCTAGAGAATATAATCCATTCTTTTAGCACAGCTTGATTGGTGTATTGCAAAGCATTTCATGCTTGTTCCAGTCAGGCCTCTCTCTCTGTCACACCTTTTCTTATTAGAAGCTGCTGCTCATCTTTTAATTGTCACACACAAAAATGAACCTATCTCAGCTGTTCTGTCTTCTTTCTACTGACACTTCACCAAAGATCTCTCCATTGGCTTTGCCTTGATGCTCTTAATGCTGTTTCATTGCAGGCCTTTAGATCAGCTGAACACCTTCTGTTGGCTGCAAGAAAATAAAAATTGGATGAAGCTCTGAGATCAGAGACTTTTTCAGTGATGGCTATAAAATTATTTACTAGTTACCACTAAATATCAGCCAAATTTCTTGCTATTATTGTCTTTATCTCTATTTGATGTGTTTTAGTTGCTTTAGAAATACAATGAAGTGTGAGCACCTTTATAAAAGCAGGAGATCTGACAGTTTGCTGCATATTTTGCATTTTCAAAAGATTTGTCTATCGGTCTACAAAGGGAAAGAAAAGTCATTAAAGAAAAGTGGAAATCAGTTGTAAAGTTGCCAGTCTTCCTTGAGTGGGAGACGCCCCTCCAAATTCACCTGAAGGACAGACTCAGCAGATCTTCAGTTTGTTTGTTACTTTTGTAAAAGTACCATGGATGAACCTTTTTCTGCTTTGTTCTACTGGAATAAAACCTAAATAGATTTTTTTGCTAAATATTGCAGTTCCTTCCCAGCAGCTTAGAAGGGTTTCTGTAACAGAAGTCTGTTCCACTGTGTGTTCATAGGAGCCATTAATTACGGTTTTATCGCTTTAACATTCTTGCCCTCATCTCTGTTCACACCTGAAAGCTCAGCCATGAATCCTCAGAAGAATCATCAAAACAAGATGAATGAGTTTCTCGAATAAAACCTGGCAAAAGAACAGTGGCGTTTTACTAATAAAGTGTTTTGCTGTTCTGATTTGCAGAGCACCGTCGACAAGCTCATTAAGAAGACCAACCTGGCGCTGGTTATCGGCACACACTCCTGGAGGGAACAGTTTGTGGACGCCGTCACTGTCAGCGCAGGTGAGCTCTGTTAGAGCGAGGACAACTTACAGGGACAGGAGGACAGCTGTCCTCCACCTGCACGTTCAGCCTCTCTGAACAATTGCTCTAACAGTGATGGATAGAACTGTTTATTATTCAGGATCACCATCTGTGTCCAGTTGGTGCTGCGTGCCTCTAGATAAGCGTGAGCTGATGAGAAACACTCCTGGTTATCAGTCTGAATATTTAATGGATGATGTGGGAAATAGTCCTGCTGGTCGAGTCTCTGTTCAGAGACAATAGCTCTTAAAGCGGTCACAGTTTCATTAAAGATTGTCATATAATAACACATATAACAGCAAACAGTGATTTTAAAACTGAAGTCTGAACTTTAGCACCGCTTTCCTCTTTTTACCAGTATCTGCTTGGCCTCAGAGAGAATAATAAATTAATGGGAAACAGGCCTTTGGCAGCTCTCCTCCCACCTGTTTGTTTCACCTCTCTTACCAGATCACTACTTTTAATTGTTTTTTTTTTTTTGTTTATCTTGCAGTTTATGGTTCCATTACTTTTTGAACAAAAAACTCTGGACATTTCTTTTATCACCTAGCTATTAGCATCTAATTTAACAGAAGTCTTAATTATAATTGTATATTAAAATTGTAAATATTCTTCCATAGATAATATTTTATAATATGATTTTATAATATCAAAGTTAATTTCTACCAATTCAAAGTAAAATAGTGAAATGTGGTAAGTCATAATTATGAGATTTAAAGTCATAATTTTGACTTTCATTTATTTGATTATGACTTTATATGTATTGAATTAAATTCTGTTTATTTTTATAGCCCCATGTAAGGGACCGAGCCAAAAGATCAGAGAAGCACAGGGAAGTCATTGAGGAAAAAATGGTAACCAATTTATTAAGCAAAACAAGTTCAAACTTCTAACAAAACTGGGCCCATAAAGGAAAACGAATGAAAATTTAACATAACCCAAACCTGACACAGGAACAGATCTCCCTAACTGACATATATACACTGGTTGATCAGAACATTTTAACACAAGAGGGGAAGATAAAATACATTTACCTAAACAAAATTACAACAAAAGACCAAACTTATTAGCACAATACTAAGTCGGCAACCTACAAGGAAGAGGACTTAAATAATTACACTTCCCAAATGTAATTACAGAATACAAACCAAATAGAAAAACCTAAGCCCTTCCTATAACCCTTCTAGAAGTAAAAGGACTAGGCCTCCAGGTCATTGAGGAGATCCTTTGCAGCTGGGGCCTCCTTTCCTTTGCTGGCCTCAACCACATGACAGCCTCCCAGGAACTGGCAACGCAAATGAGAAATATGTTAATCTACAGAAAACCAAACAAGCAAGAAATTACCAAAGCCATATCAAAGTAAAAAAGTGAAATTCACTTCAGCAAAATATAAGATTTTTTTAAATGAAAGATTTAACAGACCATTTGTTGTTGTTGCACGTGCGGCCATCACACCCCAATTTACAACACATGTCATCTCAAGGCACTATACTGAGACAATTAAACCAGATCATACAGTCACATTGGGTCAAAGTTTTCTATCTAAGGAAAACCAGCTGATTGCATCGACTCATTGACTCAACAACAATCCATCATGCATTTAGCGAAAGTAAAGAGGAAAACTCCCTTTTAACACGAAGAAACCTCCAGAACCATGCTCAGTGTGAGCGGCCATCTGCTGAACCCGGCTGGGGTTCAAGGAGACAAAAGCAGACATACAGAAAGAAGCAGGGATACAAAAGGCAACTGTCAACCAGCTCCACAGGCGGCCCCATCCAGGAAACACACAGCCAGACAGTCGAGCTCCCAGCCAGCTCCCATGTCAGAGGATGAAAGAGAGCACACCCAGTTAGTCACAGTCAGAGAAACAGGACTAAACTGATATATAGACCAAGCTCCAACGCCTATAAATAAAGGTGTTGATGGCAGCAGCACAGCTGATATTTCTCTCCAGAATGGTTTCATAGAAAAACAGGAACAGACCAGATGAAGCTACTATGAGAAAAAGCAGAGAGAGCAGAACGTTAGAGATTGAACTAACAGATTCTGCAGAGTGGGAGAATATAGATAGAATGAAGCAGAATGATGAAAAGTGGTCTCTATGTCCTCCAGCAGTCTAAGCCTAAAGCAGCATAACTATAGAGATAGCTTAGGATAACCTGAGCCATTCTAACTACAAGCTTTATCAAAAAGGAAAGTTTTAATCCTACTCTTAAAAGTAGACAGGGTGTCTGCCTTATGGACTAAAACTGGTAGTTGGTTCCACAGGAGAGGAGCCTGATAACTAATAGATCTTCGTCCCATTCTATTTTTAGAAATTCTAGAAACCACTAGTAAACCTGCATGTCTCTTAAATAAGCTGGAACTTGGCCATTTAAGGCTTTATATGTGAGAAGGAGGATTTTAAATTCTATTCTGGATTTAACAGGAAGCCAATGAAGAGAAGCCAGGATAGGAGAGATTATCTCTATTTTCATCAGAACCTCTTTGATATGGGATTTAAATGACAGGTCTTGATCAAAAATAACAAGATTTTTTACTTTATTATCTGAAATCAGTTTAATCCCATCCAAATGTAGTGACTGACTAATCAGCTTCTTTTTCAAAGACTCTGCTCCAAGGATTCTAACTTCTGTTTTGTCTGCATTCAGAAGCAGAAAGTTAAGAGTAATCCAGATTTTTATGTCTTCAAGAAATGCCTGTACTGTAATCTATGTAATGGATTAGTTTCATCTGGATTTATAGACAGATATTAGATTAGATTAGATTCAACTTTATTGTCATTACACAGGTACAGGTACAAGGCAACGAAATGCAGTTTAGGTCTAAAGTGCAGGATAAATTATTGTTCCATAAATACAGGACATGGGTTTCTACTGAGTATCATCATCATAACAGTGGACATTAGTCCCATGCTGTCTAATAATTCTACCAGTTTGGAGCATATATATAGTAAAGAGAAATGGCCTTAGCACTTATCCTTGTGGTCCTCCACAGGTAACCTTGGAGCAGTCAAAGTCAAAATTATGACTTTAAAGTTTTATTAATCAGATATAGAATGAAATAAAGTTTGTGGGAGACAGAAAGATTCTTAGAAAGAAAAAATTATAAAAAAATCAACCTAGAGTTGTACAGTGTTTCCCTCCTCTATAAAATATTTTATAAAGCTTGAGAGCTAACAAATGATTATCACATATTTGTGCTTCTGCCTGCAGGTAGACTTTAGAAAAACTATCACAGCTCCCAACAGGCTCCAGAAGTGCATGCTGTTTTACAAAGTTGTTGTTCTTCTTTTTTTTATGTCTGTATATTCTCTGATGTTTTATTATATACAAACATGCTATAACAACGTGCATGTAACTTAAAATCACTTTATTAAAGGGAAGATTTCTTAAACTATTTGACTATTCTATTTATAATGACAAATTTAGAGGGTTTTTTTTGCACTGACACATATTCTTATTTTTACTTTTTACATTTTTAACCCTTGTTTATTTTCTGCATTCCTTTAGCATTATATAGATATAATTTATATAATTTATTAATTTATTAAATGTGCTTGTAAGACTGAAATACTCTCTCCGTTACCGCCCATCATTTTAACTTATTTTATTTATACATTATGAAACAAACTGGAGTTTTCACTGTTTAACTTTATACAGTAGTAAGATGCTCAACAAGAAGAAATTAAGATAGAATACAATAAGAAGAATTTATGTGAATATATATGGGGAAAATATTAGATAAAAAACGAGTGTGATGCTAATTTATTAGTCAATATTTACTGACTAATAATCGACAGGAGTTTAAGCTTCATTGGTGTGATTTAACACTTCGCTCCATCCATGGATGCAGTCCTTATCAGATAAACGTGTCTGAGATTGTTTGGTTTAATTAAGTCCTTTTTTTCATACCCCCACCTGAACACATTTACATCACATTCAAAAAGATTAAAATTAATACTTGGTTCAAATATATTAGTGTCTCATAATTTATAGCCCTTTTTCAGTAGATCAATAATATTACCTCCATTTAAGCTCAGATGTTTTTTGGACTGTTGTTTGCAGTGCGACTGATGGAAAATCAAATTCATATTCTTTGTTTTCTATCTCATATGACAGAGCTTAAACTTAAACACCTAAGTGAAGTCCACTGTCAAGGGGGAATAACAGCATTTAATCTATTTGGGTGTAAAAGAACAGGTAGGTTGGATTTCTAACTTTTCTCTCTCCTCCAGGTGACGGTGATGATGATGAGGAAGGGCGTGAAGAACGTCTGCCTTCCTGTTACGACTACTTCATGCATTTCCTCACCGTCTTCTGGAAGGTTCTGTTTGCCTGCGTCCCACCAACAGAGTACTGGAACGGCTGGGCCTGCTTCATCGTGTCCATCAGTGTTATCGGTTTCCTCACCGCCATCATTGGTGACTTGGCGTCCCACTTTGGCTGCACTGTGGGGCTGCGGGACACCGTGACCGCCGTGGTGTTTGTGGCTCTGGGAACCTCAATCCCAGGTGGGTTTTACATGTTTCCATCCTGTCGTATTTTGGTTCCTCTGCATCAGTTTTGGTCTCTTTTTTGTACCACTTTGATTTTATTTTGCATGTTCATTTAATTTTTATTGTTTTTGGTACCATTGGTTGCAGTGTGTCTCAAACCTATCGTGTTTTTCTTTTTCTCTATATCAGAGGTTATTTAATCTTTGTGGTTTTGTGTTTTTGGATCTCTTTATAGGTTTTTTATTTTGTGATTGACTATAATTGGTTGTGTTTTTTTCGCTTTATCACCATTACTTTTCATTATACTGTAATACCCTTTCAGTGTTAGGGTCACATTACGTCGCATTACAAACACAAACTTTATTGTATTTTACTAGGATTTTATATTGTTAAGGTATATTTGTTTCATTATTTACAAACTTAAAATCAAAGACGGTGAGTGAAGGTAGGCAGGTTTGGGTTCTAAAAGGATATCCTAATCAAAACTTTACATTATGTTTGAGTTGAAAAAAGAAAACGTTTATTAAATGAGCCATAAGAAGTCCCGTTTTAAAACTACAAACAGGTGGATGGAGCTTCTTTTTCTGAAATTGGATGATGAAAAACTGACTTGTTTACTTTCAAAATGGTCAATGGATAGAAGACGAGGGCTGCAAATTCGCTAGAAATATACAAATAAAAAAGTGCTGCTAAGACACACGAAAAGGAGCTAGCAAGCAGAAAATATGTTAACACAAAAAACACATGAAAAGGAGAAAACAGTTTGAAGTTGTTTTTGGTACTCTGCAAAATGGAGGTGAAATAAAAAGCCCACAAAGCAGCTTTGCATAATGTAGGTGCCTCAGACCACTAAGGAGAAATCATCATGACTAATAACATAAACGGGATGCAGGTTCAGAAGACTCTTAATGGGGAAAAATAAAAGCAAGATTTTCCTTTAAA